CGTACGCATCCATGTTCTTGACCTTGTCTGCCCAATCAAAATCACCTGCAGCTTTTTAAAAAACAATCCAAACACTCAGGTTGTATTCCAGAGCACTAACTTCAAAACTGTCAGTCTCTTAGTGAGGGGGTTGGGTCCCTGGGCACCAACCTAAAGCCCAAACTGTGAGTCCAAGATACCTCCAGGATTGCACACCAGTGCATTGGGAGTCCTAGTGTCTGATAAACCCAGCAGTCAGCAGAGGAGGAAATCTAAGGAACTGAATAACAAAGAGCCTATTTACCCATATGTCAGATATGCAAAAGTTCAAAGAGAACCAGCAGAGGCCTTCCAGATCAACTCAACTCAAAAAATTCAGCCTTTCTAGAGGGCTGGCTGGCCCAATCCCCCACTCCCAACTTGGACGCTGAGGGAGAGCACAGTGCTTTCAGAAAGGAAATCCAGACCCACTCTGTGTTCTGAATTGTGTACCTGCATGAGATAACAGGCAAAATATTCCTCTTATTCCTTGATTATTAATTCTTCTTTTTAAAGATTTTTGGTTTTATTTCATTGTGATGAGCCCTTATAATTAAATTTATGTAAGTTACATGCCAATCTGGCATGAACGAAGCATAGTTAAGAGCTCCTAAAGGCTGAGATTGGCTTCCAGAAAGGCTGGTAGACCTAGCAATCAATATGAACTAGAAGAGTTTTGAGAAGGCAGGCAGGGCTGAGACTGTGTATCTAAATCATCCGAACCGCTTCTGCAGGACCTTGAAGGGGACCACAGGATTTGCTTTAGTGCAGGCCAGCCTCTAGAAGGATGTCTCAAGTCCAAGAGGTCACAACAACACAAATAGGAGACTCTTCTGACATCAGAGAGACCACAAGTAAACATCACTTATTAACAAATTCATTTTCTTTTTTTTATGGTACTGGGAATCGAACTCAGGACCTTGTGCTTGCCGGGAAGGCACTTATACTGATGAGCTATATCCCCAGCCCCAAATTCAAACTTAAGAGTTCCGCTGCTGAACAAATGTCTTTGTAATATTTATTCCTAAAATGCAATTGAGAGACATAAAAATTAAGGCCTATCAAGAGAGTGAGCAAATGCATGTGAATCATTTCCTTTTTTTAAAAAAAAGTAGGGAAGGTATAAGAAAATAAGCTGTACTGTATACAGGCATATCTCAGTTTTAAAAAGGCTATATCTTAGTTGAAAAAATGTGTTGGTTACAAATACTGAAATTCCCAATAAATTTTCTTTCATGAGCAATCTCTCAAGAAATAGACAAAGATTTCAACTACATAGCTGGAAAATGGTCTCATTAACATTTAAAATAAAATCCTCTAAAATAACTTTGAATTCTCTTCTACATACTTTTAAGAAAGTGTTCCTAGTTATGAAAAAATAAACCCATCAGAAAACAGATAACAAAAATATATTCTTAGCAATAAGTGATTGGATTTCAGTACTGTGAAATAGAAATTTTTTGTTCATCCTCAATTTGTCTCAAGTTTTATGGCATTTTCTAATCTATAGCCTGTTCTTAAAGTCAGTACTGGATATAGTGGAACATTAATCATTTTATTACTTTATAACCTAAGCACAGTATTCTGTTGAAGTTCATATTTGCAATCAAGATGGCCCTATAGAGGTAATGGTTAGAATTAATAATAAACTATAAGGAAACAATAGAGGAGGGACAGATGTAAATGACCTAAACAAGTCACAGAAGAATCTCTGAGTTAATTTTTGGTTTTTGAACTTGCCCAATAGTAACTTTATATTTCTTAGGTGCCATCTAGCATGTAGAGCAATTCCTTTTGCTCATACTGGTTTATGAAGAACACAGGGCAGGATGTGGGGGCAAACTGGCTGCAACATCTGTCACCCCATTGATCACCAGGGTTGATTCGGCTGATCTGGCTAGCTAGGCGGGTGTCCCCTTCTTTCCTTAACACTCTATGTGCATCCCTCCCGAAGCTGCGTGCTTGGTTGAAGAGGACGACCACCCCCGATAGAGGAGGACCATTCCTCGGTCAAGGGTATACGAGTAGCTGCGCTCCCCTGCTAGAACTTCCAAACAAGAACACAGGGCACATGGTAGTTGCGTCTAACAGAAGTGGCAGGGGAAAAACAGAAGTTTCTGCTTCCCCTAGGGCCAGCAATGGCAGTCTATAGCCCACAGACCAAATCCATTTATGAGCCTGAGTGGATTTTTATATGGCTCATGAGTTAGTAATATTTTTTCTGTGTTCTATTTATAGGTGGGCCATGGTCATTTGTTTATACATTTCGTGTAACCTGTGTTGCTTTCTATGCTACAAAAGCAGAGCTGACCACTTGAAACACACCAAATAGTCCACCAAGTCAAAAATATTCATTCCCTGGCTCTTTATAGGAAATGTTGCTGACTCCTTTAGGGAACTATGAGCAGATTTTTGAAAGCAGGCCAGTATGTTTTTTCCCCCCTCAATTTTCTGCTTCTCTGTAAGCCATTCCAGTATGTAGTACACTCCAGGCATCTGTATGAAGGCAAACAAAACATTTATGGAGCATGAACCTAGATACCTAAAGTGGAAAGGAAGATGCCATTGAGAATGGAGCCAGAGGTGGCAGATGGAGAATACACAGAAGGGACCGCTAGCTTGTTTCCTACTTTCACAGCTTGTGCACAGAGGAGAATCCTGACCAGTATGGACCCTAGCCATACTTGACTTGGACAGGTGGATTTGAGACTTTTTGAGCTGCTACTTAGAATATATTTGGGACTTAGAGTTGATGCTGGAATGAGCTAAGGCCTTCAGGGATACTGAAATGGAGTGAATGTGTTTGGATATGCATCTCAGGGAGCCAGAGGGCAGACATACTGGGCTAAAGGGTGTTGTCCTCAAAATTCATGCCTACCTAGAACTTCACAAGGTAACCTTATTTGGGAACAGGATTTCTGTACATGTAATCAAGTTAAGATGAGATCATAATGGATGAATGTACACTACAGTCCAATGACTGATGTCCCTATTGAAGAGAGAAATTTGAATAAAGACACAGAGAAGGCAAAGCCATATAAACACAGACACACAGGGGAAAATGCTATGTGAAGACAGATGCAGAGACTCGGGTGACATGTGTACAAGCCAACAAAATTTCTATCAACCACTGGAATCTAAGAGAGAAGCAGGGAACAGATTCTCTCTCAGAGCCTTTGGATTTTGGAGTTTTGATGTCCAGTGTGGTTGAACATAAGTTTGTGTTTTAAGGAATCAAGTCTGAGATACTTCGTAATCATCATCCTAGGAATCTAATGTAGATTTGTGGGCAACTGGAGATGGTTTATGTAAAAGAACTAGGATCGTAAGAAAAAGAAAGTGGTGGAATGCTAAATCACGCATATCTTTGTCTAAAATATAAACTCGAGCACTTCTAGAAGGCTGTGAAGAAAAACAGAACAAAAACAGAAACCCAGAGGCCTTGATTACTAAACCTGATTAGCTTTTACAGACATGTGTTCAGGGCAAGTAGAAATGGCGAGCTTTGTCTTCCCTGTAGTTCTGCTTCCAAGCCCAGCCCTGGCTCCGCCCAGTCACCTCATGTGACTGTAACAAAATACACCTAACAACAGGGGCACACAGATGAGCTGAAATCGTCAGAAGGGTGTCCCTACCGAGCTTCTTTTCTGAAACAATCTTAAATATGCTCAGAAAGTTCAACTTCTAGAATATGTTGTATAGGGTGAGTAATTGTATGTGTTTAAAAAAACGCATGTACTCAAAAGCAATAGGTAAAGGAGTCATCACAGACCCTTCTGGAATCTCCCACTGGCTCAGCAGACACCTTTCACATTACTTGGCACCAGATAGATCATATGCTAATTTACCCCGCATGTTTTTACTCTTTTGAAAGTTGAAACTGTGGGCAAGAGGCATTCCTTTACATGACTTGGAGACTGCAAGGAAATGATGGCAAAGATGAGAAGTTGCAAAGAGTGTAAAAGTGTGTCTAAAATATTTCACATATTCTGCTTTCCAATGAGCCCATCACCAAGGAATAAAAATTAAAACTTTTGATTGCTCTAAAACCCTTTGTCCAAATGCACATGAGTACAGGGGCCACAAATGCATGATAAAGGTGTCCACACTAAAGCCTATGCAACTCTGGCATTTAGGAGCTAAATTCTTTTTAAATTTGTCCGCAAGAGGCACAGAATTTTCCTCTTTATCATCATGTCATTCCATAACTTGGCGCCAATTATTTTAAATAAATTCATAATGCTAATTTAGATTCCTGATGCACTCAGATGCAGTATTATTTTCCTGCAGAGTTTCACTCCAGCATAACCATGTGAAATTTTATTTGACTTCTCCTCCTACTTCCCTCCTTCATTATTTTCCTCTGGCCTTAAATAGATTTGTATTTTTAATAACCAGTGGCAACAGGAAAGAAAATGCCAGCTTGACACCATCACTTCATGAGAGCACTTTGCTAGCCGGAACCCCAGCATTGTTCCCATAAACTATTGCTTAGTTCCCAAGAAAGGCCAGCTCCCAACACAAACAAACAAACCTCACTGACTTCTCCGAGCAGTCTGCAGTACATTAGTGAAAATATTTCCTGAGACTGGGAATTCTTAAAAAGGTAGCCGTTATAAGCCCAACATCTCCATTGCTCCACTGAAGAAATAAATTGTGTCTCTACACTGAAAGAGAAAACTGTGTACATCTTCCTTTTCCATTGCCTGAAACAAGCAACCTCAGTAACATCTCAATCACTGCACACTGGGTGGCGTCACACTACCACACTCATTTCCTACAGAAATCTTATTCCTGCAGAAACAAGATCACAGGGCTAACCAAACCATCACACTCCTCAAGTATCTCTAGTGCAGAGCTGGAGCTCTAGCACCTATTCCAGCATCTCACTAAAATACTACATCTTTTTGTTCCAAGACATTCGCTAGCCAGACTAGGAAGGCATGCATTTAAAAATAGGACCAATGCCCCGCTCACTTTACCTTATTCTGTTCACACACATATTGAATCATTAGCGTGTCCATTGCTCTGATCATGGCTTGCATGGCGGTGAATATGTTTTGGTAAACCAGCTTTGTAAACCCCTTTCGGTCTTCATCGCTGTATCCAGACCCATGGATAATTCTCATTTGCTTGATGAAGGTGCTCTTGCCGCTTTCACCGGTTCCTATAAAATGAAAAACCTCATCAGCAGACTTCAAACACACACTTTAGCAACGAAGGACTTCCCGGCAGTATCAGTCCATACCACAATGGACACATTGATGGGGCAGTCATGGCAAGGTTCTCACAAATGCTCCAGGAGTATGAGGTTAAAGCGGGATGGCACCCTGAGCCCAAGGGGAATGCCGCCCTGTGTTCCTTACCCCGAGTTCTTGAGGCAACAGAAGACTGAGTCTGAATGCCCTGAACTGTTGAGGGCTCTGCTGCTGTTAATACTGACAATGGGAGGGGCGGTGGCTACTTCAGTGTACAGGGAGGATTTGAGCAGTAGAAATGCTTGGAGAAGAGAAAAGGTCAATTATCTTGCCAATTCCTGCCTTTCGGATATAAGGATACACTTAATCCTTGCACAGTGAATCATTATATATGTGATCGCTTCTCTTCATGTTGAAATTTGTAGATGAGGAGCACCTCAACATTCACAACACTGCCCATGACAGCCAAAGGGCTGGGTACAGTAGTAAGCCATCGCCACTGTTCCTGAACGTGCACAGATGTCCAGACATAGTATAGTATGTAAAACATGCCGCCCAGACTCCAGGTTTATATCAGATTGAGAGACTGCTTGAGATCACAAATGCTACAATATACTGTAAATAGAAAGATTTATGTGAACTATTTTCTGTGATAAATGTAACTAATCACGAGGTCACCTTACCATAGTTTGAGAATGTGTTGTCAATGACTCATTTCCAAGTCTAAGTACTGCTTTAAGATTTTATTAAGAGTTCAGGTTGATATGGCCTCAACAGGGCAGGTTCCTTCAAGTGAAATGAAGAAGAAACCAAATATAGTAGGTGAATCATATTCCAATAAACTATTACATAAAAAGTTGTCTAACTCAGTATTTCTGTCAAAAGATCACAAGTTATGTTAAAATCTTAATCAGAACAACATAATTAGTGACTTTGCTATAATGAAGGCAAAAATATATACAGGAAATGATTTATTCACTATAAGAATCTTTTATTCATTCACATCTTCTTCACCCAGCAGAACAATATGACTGTACAACAGGGCACCACCTAACTCTGTCCAGTTCTTTGCTGATTCTTAGCAATATGGAAACTGTAGTTGCATATGCATCTTTCTTCGGTATTTTACTTAGAGATGTTTTTAAGATAGGAGGATGGAAAGCAATGATAGTGGTTTGCCTGGTTATGACCTATAACTATTTAAACTTATGGAATATGGGCGTCCACGTGTACTGTTGCTAAGGCTCAGCACATATTAGGCAGGGCCTGTTACAAGGGCCCAGTAGAGATAAAACTTAGTATTTGGTAAGATACTTTCTTGTAAGAAAAAATAGTCTCTGATTGACTTTTTTTTTTTTTTCCAAAACACAAACCTACTCTCCCATGGCTCTATCTTCAGCTCAGAACGCACAGTGGGTTTCCAGTCTGCTCAGGAAGAAAGACAAAAACTCCCCCGTGAAACCAAGAAGGCTGGGAGTCTAGACTTTTCTCACAGCACCCTTCTTTCCCCTCTGTACCGGGGGCACACTGGCCTCTCAGATCCGCCTGCTACACATGCTGGCTGCTCCTAGGGCAGCTGCCCTGCACCTGCTCGCATGCTCTTGGCCTTGCCCACATCCCTCATGGCTCAGTCCCTGCACACAGGGTGCCATGAGCTTCTCTTTGTGCCTGATCTCAGTTGTCCTCAGCTCTCACTGTAACTACCTGTTTGACATGTGTCTCCTCTCCTGGCCCTGAATTCCATTAGGCAGACAAGAGCCATGTTTGTTTCACATACATTGACTCTCTTTGTGCCTGGTATGTTACCTGACACTTGGTAGATGCTTAACAAGTATTTTTTAAATTAAGGTAAAATACACATAACCTGACATTTACTATCTTAACTATTTTTTATTGTTAAGTACTACCAAATATAATTTGGTATATAACTACCTAAATAAATACTACCAGAAATAGCGTAACTATTTTTGAATGGGCGAAGTACATTCCCATCGTTGTGAACTAATCCTCAGAACTCTTTTTCATCTTGCAAAACTGAAACGCTACACCACACCACACCACAGCACACCACACACCACACCACATCACACCACCCCACACCGCAGAATGATTCCTATTTCTCTTCCATCCCCACACCCGGCAACCACAGCTCCATCTTCTGTTTCTGTAACTGACTACTTCTCATACTTCACATGAGTGAAAGCATAGAGTATTTGCCGTTTTGTGTCTGGCTTATTTTATTTAACAAAACAACCTCAAGGTTCATCCATGCTATAATATGTCAAAAATCCTCTTCTTTCTAAGGCTGAATAATATACTAGTATTTTAAAATACAAGGCAGTAACAAAAAATTCATTCAGTTTCAATTTTCTATGCTGCCCACCACATGGAGAAATAGAATATATCAATCCTCTTCTAACCCCCTAGTGCTCAATGTGGGTCAAAAGGACTTCAACTGCAGTATAAACAACCACAAAAATGGCCTAGGAAGAGCCTTGTACTGCTTCTCTGTGAATTCTCCAGGGTTATTAGCCTGCTCCTGATAACGGCAAATATTAGAGTAGTCCCTGTGTGTGCACCAGGCATTCTATCCAAATCCATCCTTTCATATTCCTTCTTTCTCACGTTTGAACCCAGGTGCATTCTTCCACTGAGATAGATCTTCAACCTTTTCTTTAAATTTATTTTTTAGTTCTTATTTTGAGATAGGCTCTTGATAAATTGCCCAAGGTGGCTTGAACCTGCACTCCTCCTGCCTCAGCCTCTCAAGTCACTGGGATCACAGCATGCCCTGCTCACCCAGCACCAATGGTCTCCTTAGAGCCTCAGCACCAGCTGATGAAGTATGTTCTATTGTCCTTACTTTACAGATGAGAACTTGGAATTTAAACTGGTCACACAATCTCCATAAATCTATACAGGCAGACGAGGAAAGGCTTGAGATTTACTCCATTTGACTCTAACCTCAGGCTGTACTGTCAGAGAAGAAAGTCCAGGTAACAACTTGAAAGGATTTTGCTGCATTGGTCTAATAGGAGCAAATGTGAAGTTCACAGCCGCACACTGGGTCCTAAGGCCCACTCACCATCTTGCAGGTGCACACTGCTGGGACACAGGGGAACCTCCCAAACGGTTCACTGCTGCCTCACTTCAACCTCTAGAGATAAGAAAGGTGGAGCTGGCTTCCCTGCTCGGAGATGAGGACACCGGCCCTGAGTCAGAGAAAACCCAGGTTGGTACACACATAGAACTGGGACTAGAAGCCAGGCCACCAGTGTCCCAGCTTTCAAGGCTATCACCAATCCCACAAACCCTGCAGGGAATTTGCTTCCTGCAGGTAGGCTTGCACCCCTCTCCCAGTGTACTCCCTCAAAGTGCTCTGGGTACCCAGGTTGGGTATCCACAGCACCTATGCACTCTCAATGCACCCTTAATCCAGGAAGTGTGGTACCTGAAAGTCACTTGCTTTGGGTACCATGAACAAGGTGCCCATTCCATAGTTATCAATCAAAGAATTGTTAAATGAAGAAATGCATAGGACAAACATCCGACATCACAGTTTTCCCTCAAAAGGTCTTCTATTAACCTCCGAAAAATGAGCGAGGAAGTGCACAGGGATAATTGTGATGAGACCAGATGTCCCTTGAAGCTATTGTTTTAGGACTCATGGCTACTCAGACCTCACATGACAACATGAGGATCTCTGAGAAGATCCTGTTAGAAGAGTTAAGGAGTAACATGCTGAACTGGTATATCAGGTATTTCCATCTGAAATTACTTGAACTATAGCTTCGGAAAGGGCCATCGCCTTGGTTGCCATGCAGGGAACCATAAGGCTTGTTTGGGGAGGGGTGCTCTTCCCATTTCAAGGCCAAAAAGTAGACCTGATGAACAGAAATTCTAATTGGGGCCAGAGTGAGCCCGAATAAACAGATCTGAAGTAACACTTATCTTCCACTAGCTTCTCTATCCCAATCCCCAGATGCTTCCCCCTAACATCCCTGGAATTTACCATCCTAGGCCAGATAACCATTTGTCCTGTCATTCCTTCACACACTTATTGTTCTTTGTCCAAAAAGTATAAAAGCATCATGGTTTGGTCATTTCAGGGTGGGCTTTTTCAGAGGTAGCTGAATCTAGAGCTGTGATTGATTCATAGTTCAATGCTAAAATTAAGGGTGCTGGATTAAGGGTGAGTGATTGCTGGATCAGTTCATTGATTGGATTGGTACCGCCTTAATCTCAGCAGTCTGGATAAGATAAAAGGGGCAGAAAGAGGTTTGTTTCTTTTCTCTTGTTGCTTTTGGTATCTTTCATTATCATGATCAGTTGCCCCTCTGCCATGCCACCGTGCCTTGGAGCCCCCTGATTATAGACTGAAACCTCTACAAACTGTGAGTTAAACAAACCTTTCTTCCTTTAATCTTGGGTGTCAGGTATTTTGTCTTAGCAGCAAGAGGAACATAATTAAGGCATGTACAAAGATGGGATATTTTGGTACTAGAAGACATGAAAGCCATCCCTACCATCAGCATCAAACGCAAATATTTTGTAAAAGCCACTAATTTCTGCTTTAAGACATTTTCAAAAAGATGTTTAGAGCTATTTTAAAATTAATAAAAGATATAAATGGTTCAATAAATACCAATACTGATAAATATTCTTTGGTTTCAAATTGCAGTTGTTCACATAATAAAAATAAATGTGGAGCAATGAAAGGGCAGATTGAAGGCAGAAAGAGAGGCTGCCAGACACCCAGCACTGAGGCTGGGGCCAGCAAAACAGAGAGAGAGTAGGGAGGTCCTCTGGCTGCCACTCAAGCCTCCCTAAAATCTAATTAGCATTTTCTTGTTCCTGAAGAGAAAATCAGACAGATAAAACAGGTGGCTCAAACTCTTGTCTTAGAAGTGTGTGGCCTGAGTCTCAATCCTGGTCTTCACTGGTACACACACTTCCCCTAATAACGTTA